ACCATCCCGACACGCTGACGAGCATGAACAACCTCGCCCACACTTGGCAGCATATGGAAATGGCATTGGAAGCTACTTATTTAATGCGCGAATGCGTTCGCCTTAGCCAACGTAAGCTGGGCTTGAATCACCCTCACACGAAGGCTTCTGTTTCGACTTTAGACGCCTGGGTTAGCCGGCTCCAAATTCAATAATGGCTTTGCTGAGATTGACTTTGTTTTTTTGCCAATGAGGCACTATTAGTCCTGACGAGTGTGCGAAGGCTCAGCCGTGGTTGGTTACAAAGTACCATGTACTAGAATCACGTGAATCTTTGAGGGGTAAGTGAAGCATGTATGGTGGGGTGCACATAGTAGGCACGCAGGGCGGCAGTCTTTGCAAATGTGACTGCTACCTTGCTCTCGTGAGTCCGGTCCCTGCTCGCACTGTATTTCTCCATTGCGTCCAGAAATAGCCGTTCTTATAATTCATTGTGTCACACGAAAGCGGACACTCGTTTTGGACCTCACTGTAGTTTTTATGCTATCTGCTTCTGAGCGTCTGGATAGACTGTAATGCTCATGTCGGAATGCAGTTCACCTGCCACTTCTAATTCGCTCAAGCTCCTGCAGACACGGACTCATTTATCAGTATGTAGTAGACGCCCCAATCTCCAGTTTGCGTTGCGCGATGCATTTGATTTGATCGACATCTTCGTGAACAACCGTCGAGAGAGCTTAGCCGTATTTTTCTCCTTGGATATGTAAATCTGACAGAATCGGTATGCTGGGTCGCTTGGGCTTTCGAGGACCAAAACTTGGGCACTGAGAATGCCGAAGTTGGCGCGCATTCGGTCCATCCGGCGAACTAGCTTCTCGCCAACCCGACCGCCAGCATGAGTGAGTGCTCGTTAGAAATCCAACCTGAGGTGCACTATCTTAAATTTGCCCTGTACTATGGCGTATTTACTCACGGTCCGACCACATTGTTGACAAGGCACCCTTTTCTGAATCGAACATTCGCTCGCTTACCCTACGAAGCTGTATAGGCCAGCTTCTTGCAGACCGCGCCAATGACTTGACACTCGCAGTCTTCCCGCGGAAGGTATGAGCAACGTGGTTCGATCCAATAAGAAAAGGAGACATGCCTTGGGAGTGTATCTTGAGATTCCATGCCATTCTCCAATGCATGATCGCACCAGCAAAATGAACGTCAAGCTTTTTGTGCCTACCAAGCCCAGACGAACCGCGACGTACTTATCGATCAATCACTTAGGTTGAGGGTCAACTCTCGGGCACATGAAGGTATCTCGACGAGCGCAATGCCTCGAGCTTTCAAACAGCTTCTGATACCAAAGATATCCGTACAGTAGGCGGAGAGCCGAGAGAAGATTCTTATCGATAGAGAGTGAGCCCTTTACCGACCCTGAATCTCGTGGCGTCAATTGCCCCGCGCCGCACTTGCCGCCAGCCCCGCGCTGACCTGCGCGTCTATTGGCGCACTGCGCAACATCGACCACTGACTGAGGGTCCATTGGCCCTGCGTCCTTCGAAGCTCTTCCTCTGCAGCAACACGCTTTTCCATTACACCATCACACACTTTGTACTACCCGAAGAACGCTGTACAACCCGAGATTCGACACAATGGGCGTCGAGAAGATCATCCATGAGCAAGGCCAGGGCGATGCCGTCCAGAAGGGCCAAACCGTCACCATTGCGTACACTGGCTGGGAGAGGGTCAAGGGAACAGCCGACAACGTCTGGGAGAAGGGCTCCAAGTACGCCGTTCCGGTCAAATTCGTGACACTGGCTGGTTTTAACATCTTAATAGGTTCGATTCCTCGGTCGACCGCAACCAAGACTTCGTCGTTCCCGTAGGCGTTGGCAGGCTGATTAAGGGCTGGGACGAGGGTATCGTTGGCATGAAGCCCGGCGAGAAGGCCACTCTCCACATCACCCAGTGAGTACATCGAAACAAGTCATGTCGAGTAGGATGAGTGCTAATGACATAGTGACTACGCGTATGGGCCTAGGTACGAATTACCCTTACACACGGCAGCTGACGCAAACTAACAACAGTGTACAGGGGCATCCCGGGAGTCATTGGCGAGGAAGCCGATCTCATTTTGTAAGTGCCGGTTTGTATCAGGATGATATGCAAGGCTGACAATATCACAGCGACGTCAGCCTTAAGAGCTTCAAATAGAGAGCCTTGTTGAGGTGTTCATTGTGACAGAAATATAGCCTTAAAAAGATTTGTATCGCGGGCCAAAACAGGTGCCGTTATACAAAATCAACATCTAAACAAATCATCCCCACTCGCTTAACCGTGGTCGTGAGTTGTAAGCAGATCATTGTTTCCATCGTCTCAGACTCTCCACAGTCGAGTCTGCCTTGTACAGCGCCGCATGAAAAATTCATCATGCAGATTTAAAGTATGCACGACCGACGTAAATACGTTTTTCCAGTTACACGAACATCCTGGGTTCAATCAATCTCCCGAGTGGTTGGTGGTGGCGCGCGCGCAGCATGGCGGCAAACGCTTGGAATTGATTTGGCATGCGCGAGGGCTGTGCCATACGACCTACATCTGCGGCCGCTGGACCAAGCCGACCAACATGCGCAAATCACGACTTCATAAAGAGAGGAATCAACCGCTGTGTAACTCAAGGTGTTGTGTTACTCGAGAATTTATTTTTATCGGACCTTCACACTGACAGGTGACTTGGCGAAAACTTATGTGCTTATATGGATCCACTGTCGATTGTTGCGGGTGCGGCTGGGTTTGTCTCGCTGGGAATCCATATATCGAAAGATTTGATGGAATTCTGCGACGACTACCGGGGACGTGACGAGGACTTTGGGACTCTGTCTAAAGAAGCAGCATTCTTGAAGAACCAGATCCAGTGCACCGAGCGCCAGTTGAACCGCTGTGAGGGGATCGACAACACACTCCAAGAGTCGCTATACTCACTACGTCAACGGGCAGAAGAGTGTCAACATGTGTCCGAGAAGATACTGTTTAAGATGCAACGGAAAAATTCAGGCAACTGGATTCAAAGGCAAGGCTCAAGGTTGAGGTATCCCCTAGGACCGAAGCGCAAGCTTGAGGATGTGTTACAGCAACAGCAGCAATTTGTGACAAAGATCAATCTGCTTCTCGCCCGAAGCAACATGTACGTTTCGTTGGAAAAGCATCACTTATCTCTTACTAATTTTCTTTTGAAGAAATGAGACCATCGCGACAAGGCATAGCCATGAGATGGCATCACAACGGTTACTTTCAGTATCGGACCGTCACTCAGAGCAAATGACACAGATTCTGGACTCCATTGGGCAGTGTTCGAGGACAGAATTGCTGCAACAGATGGAGAAGAAAATTATCGCAGCGATATCAAACCGGACGGTCAAAATTGCTGATACCGGGGGCAAGAAGGAGATGGACATGGTCACAACGTCCATAACCGACGTCTCAACTCGGTGCGACACAGTGCCACCGCGTCCTCGACATCACAAGCGCAACACAAGGGCAAGCCAGGCATCCAAGATACGCCTTGCACAGAACTCGAAATTTTCTTCGAAACGCTTCACCGGCGATTTTACCGTGTTCCAACGGGCTGTCAAGTGGGATGTTGCAATCAAGCATTCGACCAACGGCGTATTTCAAAGTCTCCAGATCTTCCCATCCCTCAGCATACAAGGCGTGGTACCCTGTGACGCACCAGCATTTATAATCTTGCGAGAAAACGTGTCACAGGTCATAGATTGGCATGCCGCTGATATCGTGGTCCGTCGTGCGCAATTGCGGGAATGTCTACGAGACATCGAGGAGCTTTACACCGCCGGGAAGGCATCGCCGACTGACATCATTCCCGATGGAAAGGATCTTTTATCAGTAAGAGCCGTCCACATAAGCTTCCGAGACATGGGCTGATACATGCGCAAGCTTGCCATATGCACGATGGTCGACCATTTGCGCAGGGACCCTCCACTAGGCACATCCGACATGAGCCGGATCAGGAATGATTTAGAAAGGGAGCATGAGCTGCGAAGAGAACTGATATCAGCGTTACAAGACTTCGGGATGGACATCAACAATGGTAAACACCTCCAAGATGAGTCTCTCGTGTAAGTCCACTCAGACACTTGTGCCAATCGCCTGGTAGCTGACTTTGCAAAAGGCTAGGAAAAGAAAGGCATCCCCCATACTTGAAGGAAAGCATCGAGTCCCATTCAAATTGGGCAGCGATAGTTGTCGCTCTCGCTGAATGCAACTTTGACGTTACATATTTGCAACACGAGTTCTGGACCAACGTCGAGCAATTAACCCATGGCTGTGGGGCAGTGTCCATACATGAGCTCATGGAACCTGTCATAGGTATGGCATGAATGGGACAAAGCAAGAACTTGGCTAACCCAGTCCAGAGCCGTTATATGGCGAAGTGTCGCAAGCAGTCATCAAGCGCGACGAGAGCCAGCTTTCACAGATCCTGCAATTGCGGGGCCGTTTGATTAGCGAGAGGGATTCAAACGGAGACACGCCTTTCCACATCGCCACACGATGGCCGCCGGGTCTGAAAATTCTCTTGCAGAGCGAGGAATCGATGGGAACCAGATGCTTCAGCAGTGCTCCGAACTTGGAAGGCTACACACCTCTCCTCTTAGCCGTGATCAGCGGCCTCACCGAGGCTGTCGACCTTCTACTCGAAGCCGGTGCTGCTGTCGATGAAAGGTCATGGTTTTTCGTGTCTAGCGAACCCAACAAAGAGCTTGCTATTCGCTTTGCAAAGAGCCTTGCGCGTAAACGGTTGCAGTTCGGGGAGCTTTTTCACTCTTCCTATCCAGAGGCAGACAATATCGGAGATGCTTGTATGAACGAGAGTATTGATGAAGCTCTGCAGATGCTTCGAGGAAGAGGTGTAGACGTGGCTCCGACTTTGAGTGAATCATATTCTGGACCGCCCTATGCCCTCAACCGGAGGACGGAAACCCCAAGTCTTGAGTTTCTGGACGCACTGCATGAATCAGGCTTCCGCGGAATCGACGTTCCCGATGAAAAGCACAATACGTTACTAGGTCGGCTGATCAGATATGTTAACGTCGATAGCACCGAGGCAGTGTTCCGCCGCGATTTTGGGAAATTGCGAACATTGTTCCGAGATGCCCACGCGCCTATCTCGTGGCTACTTGAGCACGAAGCTGACGGCTTGACTGGCGCTGCTTTTATCAAAGACGAACACAAGATCTTGCATTGGCTGCCTGTTGAGCTTGCTTGTCTCAACGTCTATGAAAAACGTGTCTCGGCGCTCGAGTTTCACCCTAGGAGCGAGGCTTTATTCAGCTCATATCTCAACCAGATAGGGCGTAGCGGTTCTCATGGCCCCTGCCACTGCCCATGTTCGCGACAACCATGCGCCCCTGTCTCAATCTACAGCCGCATCCAACTGGAGCAGGAACATCAGGTAGTCACCCCTCGAGGATGCCAGTCTCTCAAAGCGTGGAAATGGGACACGCCGAGATCAGAGTACGGAGGAGTCACAGGCAGTGCATTATTTGACCATCGGGGCTATTACCCTTTTGTTGACAGCAGCCACTTTCTTTCGGTCATGCATTTCCTCTCTGACGCGCACGACAAAACCACGGCTTCGGAAGCTTTGCGACTGGCAACATTTCACCGATTGGGACTGAGGCATACATGCTGTTTGTGGCGCCCGAGGAATCCCGAATCGGAGTCTCTCTTAGCTCCATGCCACTTGGCTGCCCCTTCTGCGGAAGAGATACTCGAAATCGAGGAGGAGCAGGTTGCACTGACTCACGAACTGGAGCATTTGATCGACGAGTTCGAGGAAGCAATGCTGGACCACAAAGGTGACTTGATTGACTTCTTGCTGGGCTTTTGGTGGGAACGAATGGACAGATACGAAAAGGAAACCAGTGCTGTACAGACGGGCAGTGCGCAAACATTGCGGGACCTGGGGATTGTACTGACGATTGATGAAGTTGATGAAGAGACTTGAGCGTTCTGTTGCACTTGTCAAGAATACAATATAACCTAGAACTTCTATACATTTATTTTGTACAATACAAGCAACTATTTAACGTGAATCATAGGGGCTTTAGCTATCAAGCACAAACAAGCTGCAAAAACCAAAAAAAAATTGATCATGGAGAAGATGCAAATGCGGCGCCGAGAAGTATGAGAATTAGGGAAAGGCAAGGAGAGAATGAATTCACCTTGTCACACCTCTGGTATTTCAATGGAACGCTCCTCTGATAACTTGGGGATCGTGGCCGCATGACCCTCTCTCCGGTCGTCGTCAGGTCATCGGCAGACTACTTATTACGTATCCGTACTCGCGCAGAATTTGGCTTAGGCCACATTGACAATTGTCACTCCGTCACCATTCATTTCACGACCACATCGCGTCATGGGACATGGAGCTGCAAACGCAGATCGACAAGGCCGCAACAGCGCTTAACACACTGTCATCGATCATACCAGAGGCAGAATTGCTACTCGACGCCATCACCACCGTGGTCAAACACCCCGGCCAGACGGGACTACCCGCGCACGTCAAATTCCTCACCCTGCAACGAAGCCAGCTCGGGGCATGCATCACCAAGCTCCAGCAATTCGCGCCCACAAACGAGCTCGAACCTTCAAATGGCGACGGCACCTCGCCTGAAAAGTCATTGCCTGCCGTAGAGGAGCTGATTCGCAATACCGTCACCAACGTCCACTTGGCTGACCAACAGATGGCGGTCCTCAAGCGCTGCTCCTACCTCACTTTCATCAGCAAGATTGGCCGCGTCTCCGTCGTAGATGGTGGGCATGAGTGGATTGTCATTCGCCCCAAAACATGGACACTCGCCAAAGTGGCACGTGACATGGCGGAAGATGGATGGGAATGGGGCGAATACGACACTATGGACGACGTGCCCCGGGATGTATGGGCGGATGCCGGGCCATACACTCTTGCGAGAGCGATCATGAGGCTCGTGGAGGATGCGAAAGCTCATAGAGTGGACTACAGGATACCGAGGATACGTGTCGTCATGCCAAGCTTGCGGAGAAGTGAGAATGACGACGTCGGGTTGTATCTGGACGTGCTGGAGAAGATGGACCCATCGGTCAAGATCACGATATCTTGTGCTGATAGTGACTTTTTACTCTCGCCGGTACCAGATATGGCCACTGCGGTGCGGAGTCTGGTGGTTCACCCGTTGACCAATCTTACATCGACCTTGAATCTGGATCAGACCATCTTGATGGACTTGGTGTCGGACATTACGCATTTGCGTCTCGAACCGGAGAACTGGCTCCCGCGCAATACACAAGGCCATATCCAGGAGGAGAACGCGGGCGAAGGAGGGATCATGACCAAAGCATTGTACCCTGTGCTACAGGGCCGCAAACTGGTCTGCACGAGCGAAGTCGTGGGCGAATTCATGGATCTTGTCACCAAGATTGGCACAGAAACGGAAAGACAGAGAGCAAGACTATTGCTTGGTCTAGATGAGTCTCAATGTGAGGCTCGGGCCGGATACAACAAACTCACGATACATCCGCTGCCTGCTGATCTCCAGATCCCGATAGCTGTCATACCTACGTCGTGGGCGAGCGCGTCCACTTTGAAAGAGGTCATAGATTCACACGGTCTTCCTCGCATAGCACTGCCAGTCACAAGAGCCGCGCGATCGAAGCTGAGCCCGGCGAGGATAGGTGTGTTTTTGCAAGGGTGGCTGATGGACTGCCATACCCTGACCGGACAGAAGGAGATGCTGAGCAAGTTCAAAGTATGGGTTGACCAATGTCGACTGAGCGACGAGGACACGGGGCCAAGAGTGTGGAAAATAGATGTCACGAGGAATCTCCTGGCTACGAGACCACCACATAGGACAAAAGGGTTTAGCGAGTAAGTAGCCCAGGTCAAGGCAGACAAGGGCTAAAGCACTAGAATACACATAGAAAACTTACGACAGGCTATATCACCACGAATGCGTTGATTTACGGGCATCTCTGAATAAACCTGCGTTGAATTATAGGCCCTTATCCTCCCAAGCATCTATGTCGTTCCGTTCCTGGGGAGCTTGGCTCTCCTTGGAAAGTCGAGTGAAGCTTCGTCCCCAATATTGCAGCATTCTGTACAGTGCAAGGAAAGCTTTTTTCCATCTTTACTGCGCTCACTCGCTGTGAGGATCAAGAGTGCGACAGGCGTACGCGGTTTTGATGGCGGGTTCATCCACCGTCGTCGTAGCGTCGAAGAAGACGACAGGCGGGACACCCAGTGGTATATACTTCTCCACAACTGCTGTACAGTCACCACATTCCAAGCTGAACGTGGTTGTCGTAGTGTTTGTGTAAACAGTTTTTGTTGGTCCAAAGCCGAGACTCATCAGGTTGAGCATGGTGGAGGTGCATTCGCCCAACTTCTTGCTGTCTGAGATGCTTGCACCGAGTCTTGCGTAGGCGACCGCCAGCCAAAGCGCCAAAAGGTAGTAAATCTTCATTGTGGTGAGTGTTTTTTGAGTATGAGAGCATGATAATTGGAGCTAGACTCTCGTTGAGGAAAACCTGGCCGGCCATATATAATCTCGCTAGGAAAGGCATGGCAATAGCATCCGAGACATTGTCTGTCCTGGGTAATCACTCGGCATGGTCTGGAATGTGAGACACATGACTTGGCAAAGCGAAGAGTATGTGTCCCAAAGAAGTGACTTGGTTCCTCTTAGGGTGATTATGGCTTTGGGGTGGCAGAGATGGAGGGTCGCAGGATGGTCCTAGGGGAAGGGGCGTGAAGATGTGAGCAGAGACATTGTGTAAATTGAGTTGAGAATTAGCCACAGTAGCGGGCCTGTAACAAATGTCTAAAAAATGAGATGGACCTGGCTTTCGGCATGAGCCACGCTCCAAGACATACCATGTCGACAACATGAAGCTTTTGTGACGCTCGGAAGGATTTAGCAAGAACTCCACTGTGTCCAAGAACCGTAAGATGGTGTCGAATGCCTTCATCTTGATGTCATCCTTTCGGTAATGCATGATTTACTATGCCCTCTGACTTGGGGCAACACGACAATATCTTGGGCAGCTTTGGTTTCGATCACTCGAACAATGGGGGCTGCCCAGAATCCCAGGGCTTGGGCGAGCCCCAAAGCAAACCGTCCATCTCGTCCCAGCTCAGATCGCCCAGGAAACCCTGGTACATTCTGTCGCCGATGCCCAATCCTGGCGAACCCTGGGGAAGTTCCATGTCGGCGGGTGATAACAGGGGCACCGAGCTCTCGGCTCTGTCTTCGTCCACCTCGACACCTTCACTCAGAGCCAGCTCCTTCATCGCTGCGTAGCATGCGTTCGCGGCCACGACCGCGGTGGCAGATACCTCGTCCTCGATGACCTTCTCATCTGCAATGCCCTCATTTAACAGGTCCACGTGCCGCAGACAGCAAGCCGTGTAGACGTGACCTTTGATGTTGGTCTCGCCCGACCGTACCCTCCTCAACATCCACGCCTCACCCGCGGCAAGGGTCGCCCTGAGATCGTAGTCTTGCACGGCTGGTAAGTATCCCAGCCCTGTCATCACGTTGCCATGCGTGTGAATCAACTCCACGGCTGTCGCGGTCAGGCTCTGCAGGGGAACGTTACGAAAAATACCTGACCCGTTGGTGACCAGCCGTGTAAAGTCGGTTGATGGTGGTTGATCGCGCAAAGGGCCGGAAAGACCGCAGATATGTGTGATTTTGAGCGCCCCATCAAGGTGCATCTTGCGAGAGAAGTAGTATCGCGGGTCCTCGAGTGATTTGGTGATGAGGGGCTGATGTAGGGCGTGAAAGCACCTATAGACCAGGATCTCGGCGAACGACGCATGGAACTGAGTCACTTTGGCCTCGGGCTCCTTGCTGTAGCGCAGCATGGACTGAGACATAGCGCGACAGAACTTGACGAGGGCTGAATTGTGCCGGAGCGTCTGCTCGTACGACTCGACTGATCGGAAGTCATTCGCATGCTGAAGGAGCGACAGTCGAAGGGGCGCAGACTTTGCGACTTCCAACGCGACTGACATGTCTGTCGCCTTTTGCGTGCTCTCGACCGGTTTCTGGGCAACCCTGTCGCGTCTCTCGCGATCCAACTCGTCTGTCAACTCAACGTCATCGAGATCTGCTGGAGGAAGAGTGTCATATTCTGCCGCTGAAATGAGTGGTGGACCGCCCGCGTCAAAGCCGCTCTGCAAGTTCAGCTCTATGATGGTCGCCCACAATCTCCGCCTCATCTCTGCTCGGAAGGTCGTCATGTCAGCTAGATGACGCGGGTCACGATGGAGGCCCATGTACATGGCTTTTCGAAGCATCCCACCTGTCGTGACCCAGACCAAGTCGTGCCCGATGGCAACGGCGGACCGAGCGAGGGTCAGCAAGCACATGATTTGGAGGCCTGGGATGTTCATGCGGGCCTTTTCCGGGGGCAACATGATCCATAGTTGAGCTTCGTAGATCCATTGTGTCGCCCTCGGTCGTAGGGTGAAGGTGTCATCGTGGAAGACGGATCCAAGGGCCATGACCAGCCGCAGAAGGATGGTGAAGTGAGCCGTGTGCTGAGGCACGGTGGTGGTCCAGAAGCGCTCATATTCCGATCTAAAGGAAGGAACGTGGAGGACGCGTAAAACACCTTCAAAGGTACGGAGATATGACTCGACCAGCTCATCCGCAAGGGCTTTGTGCGGAATGTCGCGTCCCAGAGCCGACGACGACAGAGGTTTAAGACGATGCTCCTTGATCTTCCTCCCGAGAGCTTTACATCGATTCAACAGGCAACCGAATGGATACTCCTTTGCGTCAAGTTTGCCCAAAGTGTTGATCTCCAGGGGCAGCAGCATCGCCCCTTTCATCCAGTGACTTCGGCCAAAGTACCGCGTCTTGCTGATGGTCCCTCCTTGTTGTAGCAAAGTACCAGTCGAGCTTGGATCACCCGTCACTGCCTCTTCAGGACTCTTTGAGAGACCGAAACCGGCCAGCTTCTCCTCCAGGTATTGTATCCTCTCCACCAGCCTGTCCACATCTCTTGAACTGTCGCTGGAGCTTGGCGCAGTCGAGCTTCCACCCGCGATGCTCAGCAGATCACTGGCAGCTGAATTGGCGGTCTCAGTGTCTTTTGATGGCGCAGGCAATATTGGCGCTGGTTTCCTGTCAATTTCCTTCTGTAGCTGCTGCGACTGGGACTGATTCTCGGCCTTCTTTTTCCATGATGACGGGGTGTGAGCAGGCGCATATGAGCAATCCTTGATCTGACTCCTAACGCAGTGATTACAAGGGGATTTCCTGTCGCAGCGCACCTTGCGTCGCCTACATTGCTCACAGGCCAATGGCGGACGACGGCGCTTCTTGTGCGTGGGTGGCACTGTTGGGAGCACAGCAGCGTCGTCCGACATATTGGGTCCACGGGCTCTCGCTCACTTGGTGACGTTGTCAATGGAAGCATGGGAAAGATAAATATTTATTTCAAACGCGAGAGAAAGGAACTCAACTCATCTCAGGGCTGTTTAGCAAAAGCCCGAGGCTGGCCATTGTGATTGGTTGAGCAGAGCAAAAGCCCGAGCGTAGCGCCGGAATGCCGCAACGCTCTGTTTATTTTTTTTCTGATGGAGGCATATCACCGTCGTGAGCCTTGGAGTGATTTCTGCCCGAGGTGAGTGAACAGTAATGAGAAAAGTAACCGGCGGTGCGAGCACCATTGTCGAGACTTGAATGTAGTGGGCTGTACGTAAGGGCTGGCTCTCAGCAACAGCTCACTGCAGCCTGGAGCCAACAGTGGTACCATCATATCGTGCTAAATCGATGTCGAATTCACAAGACAAGTTCATCAAATCAAGCCTGGGGCCGTAGAAAAAATAACCAATGTACAAGCTAAACGACCCTCCGGACCCAAAATCAGCATTAGCAGGATCATTGTACACGGGCGTCAAGCCTTGGATCAGGTCTATAAATATCCTCCGACGCCCTTTATCTTCATCTGCATTCAAATCCCTCCTCGTCTGTCGTCCTCAATTATGCATCCTCTACAGCATCAAGTCGAGGGGATTCTCGAGCGCCTTCTTGAACTCGCGGATCCATTCGGCGCCGATAGCACCGTCCACGACCTTATGGTCGAAACTGGCAGTCACGCTGATCTGGTCCTCGAACTCGACACCGTCGGTGCCGTCCTCGTTCTCCACAGGCACGGCGACCCTCTTGGTGGTGCCAATGGCAAGGATGGCGGCCTGGGGGGGGTTGATGATGGCGCTGAACTGGTCAACGGCATTGTTCATACCCATGTTGGAGATGGAGATGCTTCCACCCTGGTACTCCTCGGGCTTGAGCTTGTTGTCGCGCGCCTTCTTGGCGAGTGCCTTGACCTGGTTCGAGATGGACTTGAGGCCACGCGACTCGACGCCGGTCACAATGGGGGTGATCAGGCCCGTGGGCGTCGACACAGCCACGGAGACGTCGACGGTCTTAAACTGGCGGATCGAGTCACCGCGCCAGCTCGAGTTGACGGCGGGCACCTTGAGGGAGGCGACACCCATGGCCTTGATGAGGAAGTCGTTCACAGAAAGCTTGTACTCGCCCTCAGCTGAGCTGTTCATGGCCTGGCGGAGCTTGAGCAGCTTACCGACCGAGATGCTGCTGGTGACGAAGAAGTGGGGGTTGGACTGGACAGACTCCTGGAGGCGGCTGGCAATAGCCTTGCGCATGCCGGACACGGGGACGTCCTCGTATGTGGCGCCAGGCGCGGCCGCGGCGGCGGCGGCAGGGCTGCTGATGGCCTTCTTGACGTCCTCCTCGGTGATCTTGCCACCCTTGCCGGTACCCTTGATGCCCTCCAGGTTCACACCCTTCTCGCGGGCCAGACGCTTGGCCGGGGCAGCGACGTTGGGCTCACGGTCGAGAGCGGTCTCCAGCTTGCCCTCTGAGGGCGCGTACTGCTCGGGCTCGGTAGCAGGCTCGGGGGTGGATGGCTGGGACTCGGACTTGGACTCGCTCTTGTCCTCCTTGGCCTCGGGGGCCTTGGCGTTGCCACCGGCGTCCTCGATGGTGAACTTCTCAAAGGCGGCGATATCGGTGCCCTCCTCGACGAGGATAGCAATGGGCTGGGACAGTTAGCGCGTGTTCAACACGATAAGAAAAACTCTAGAGAGCAAAAGCACTCACGCTGCCAACAGCGACATCCTTCTCGCCAGACTCCTTGAGAATCTTGGCAACGATACCCTCCTCCTGGAACTCAAAGTCCATTTGCGCCTTGTCCGTCTCAACCTCGACGAGAACATCGCCGGGCGCGATGCTGTCGCCAGCCTTCTTCTGCCAGGCACCGATGTTGCCAGCCTGCATGGTGGGCGACAGCGCCGGCATCTTGATAACTTGGTGCTCTGGGAACGACGCGTAGTGGCGGACTACATGCGCCGTGAAGCCCTTGCGGAGGACATTCTGGGTGGGAGCGAGAGCTCGCCTTCGGAGCGCGGCACTGAGCATGTTGTCGGGTTGTAGAGATTAAATGGCTCGGGGGGGGGATTTGGGAGGAAGGAGGCAGAGAAAAGGGATGAAGGAGGCTGCCGCACGGGAGGGTCGAAGCGCAAATCCTATGGCTTCCGAAAGATGCAGTCGGCGCGCAATTGATGGAGTGCGGTCGAAGAGGAGAGGAGAGGTTGGAGAGGCTCGTGGTGTTGGACGCACGCTACTTCGACGGAAATGTTTTGGGGCAGTTTTTCCATGCGTTGAGGAAGGACGCCGGAAGCTCGAAAAGCTCCCGGAGGCTAAGCCTTCTTTGGCATGACTGTCATTGCACTGAATTCACTCAAAGCGCCCCAAGTCCTTATTCACGGCACATGGACAATCTTTGGCTATACACAAACAGGACACTTCAATCTCCTACTCATTTTTCAATCAATTGATTTGATTTCGTCATGGCCTACAATCTTTGCCCTCTCAACATTACGGGATACTGTTCGGTGCATTTCACGCGAACCAGTGGGCCTAAGGCATCCAATCAGCTCTTCTTCTGTGAAGCCTTGGCATCCCTGAATGGACTCCCCAAGCTCAAGCCATATGTGGCTCGTGCCTTCGCGCGTCGCTCATCAGGACACGCTATCGCAGGTCAATGCACCAGCCACAGCACCCCTTGAAGTGCGACCATCGCCTCCAGTCCCCGAGTCCATCGTAATCCGAGACTAACTGCAGTCTACCAACCCGTGGCAGCCGGGGTTCTCGAAATTCTTATTGCTTCTTTGTCCGGTCTCTAACATTGCCAACAACGCGACCGAAACCTCGAGAGGACCCGACTCGCAGATTCTACATGGCCCCCTCATGAGCTCACTCAAGTTTGTCGTGTCCTCCTTGGACGCTATCGCTTCGTCCAAGGATGCGCAGAAGAACAAGAAGCTTGGTGAGCTGGCCAACACAGCCTTGACGGCCATCAAAGAGCAGGACCAGCTACCCGACCCCGAAATTGTCTTCGCCCCTCTGCAGCTAGCCACGAAAACGCACAATCCACAGCTGACGACAAGCGCGCTCGATTGCATCGGCAAGCTCATTTCGTATTCCTACTTCTCCGTCCCCAGCAACAACGGAAGCAGAGACAATGGAGAACAAGGTGGCGTAGACGCGCCTCCATTAATCGAACGGGCGATTGACACGATTTGCGATTGTTTCGAAGGCGAAACCACGGCCCCCGAGATTCAGCTGCAAATCGTCAAATCATTGCTAGCGGCTGTGCTGAACGATAAGATTGTGGTTCACGGCGCTGGCCTGCTCAAGGCCGTTCGCCAAGTCTACAATGTGTTCCTCCTGTCAAGGAGTACCAGTAACCAGCAGGTTGCCCAGGGTACGCTAACGCAAATGGTGGGGACTGTCTTTGAGCGCGTCAAGCTTCGCCTACACATGAAGGAATCGCGACTGAACCTGAGCCATGGCAGCAACGAGGCTGTCGACGAGGTGGAGCAGGCAGAACATGTCGTGGAAGAGGCGGATCAAGAACAGGGACAAGGTGCAGATACCCCCGCGACAGAGCTGTCCGAGCAGGCGGCCAATGGAGGCAAGCTCACCCTCAAGGACCTGGAGCACCGCAAGAGCTTCGATGACTCGGCAATGGGCGAAGGACCAACAACAGTAACGAGGTTAAAAAACACCCGAGCCCAAGATGACAACGCTTCCGTGTCCAACATGTCGGTGCAGAGCAACGCTCAGCAGGAAGACAACGATGCGCTCGACGATGAGGACGAAGTCTACATTCGCGATGCGTATCTGGTCTTCCGTTCATTCTGCAACCTGTCGACCAAGGTCTTGCCGCCCGACCAGCTGTACGATGTCCGCGGGCAACCGATGCGCTCCAAGCTCATCTCTCTACATCTCATCCACACACTACTCAACAACAACATTGCCGTCTTCACTTCGCCACTTTGTACCATCAGAAACTCCAAAAGCAACGAGTCTACGACTTTTCTCCAAGCCATCAAGTTTTATCTGTGTTTGAGCATTACCCGCAACGGCGCGAGCTCGGTAGATCGAGTCTTCGAGGTCTGCTGCGAGATCTTCTGGCTCATGTTGAAGTATATGCGGCCATCCTTCAAAAAGGAGATCGAGGTCATCCTCAACGAAATCTACCTTGCCCTACTCTCGCGAAAGAACGGGCCTATTTCGCAGAAGCTGTACTTTGTCACTATGCTCAATCGCCTTTGCGCTGATCCTCGCGCGCTCGTGGAGACATATCTCAACTACGACTGCGATCAGTCGGTTGACAACATCTATCAAAAAGTGATCGAGGACCTCTCGAAGTTTGCGACAACACCAGTCGCGATCACCAGCGTCCACGAGCAGGCGTATGAGGAACTTCGTTTGAAGACGGCTGCAGCCAGCGAATGGCAGCTGAAGCCCATACTACCGCCCTCATTAACAGTTGCGCGCATCATCACCCAGCCAGAAGCGGAACCCGATTACCCGAAGGAGTATGCCATCAAGAGGCTGTCATTGGAGGCTTTGGTCGAGGCCCTACGATCGCTTGTGAATTGGTCTGCTGCTGTGCGCACAGACAGCGCGCCGCTGCGAAGTAACCCTGACGAAGGCACACAGAATCCTTCCATGGATGAACTACGACCATCGCAAGACCCGAGTATGCTGGATAATGTGTCTACGCCGTTAGCCTCAACGCCAGTCCTCGAAGATGACCCTGATCAGCTCGAAAAGGAGAAGGCGCGCAAGACAGCATTGACGAATGCAGTCCGTCAATTCAACTTCAAGCCCAAGAAGGGTCTCAAGTTGCTATTGCGCGACGGCTTCATCCCGAAAGACACCCCCGAAGACATTGCCAAGTTCTTGTTGACTGAGGACAAGCTTGACAAGGCACAGATCGGCGAGTTCCTAGGCGAAGGTGATCAAAGGAATATTGACATTATGCACGCTTTTGTCGACCAGATGGCGTTTGAGAAGACGAGGTTCGTGGCAGCTTTGCGTCAATTCTTGCAGTCATTCCGTCTCCCCGGTGAGGGCCAGAAGATCGACCGCTTCATGCTCAAATTCGCCGAGCGCTACGTCCTCGGCAACCCCAAGGCTTTTGCCAATGCGGACACAGCCTACGTGTTGGCCTATTCGGTCATCATGCTCAACACCGATCTTCACAGCAGCAAAATTGCCAAGCGCATGAGTAAAGAGGAGTTCATCAGGAACAACCGCGGTATCAACGACAACGCAGATTTGCCAGAAGAATACCTCCTGGGTATTTACGATGAGATTGCAAGCAACGAAATCGTTCTCACCAGTGAACGTCAGGCCGCGGCGGCTGCAGGAAACGTGCCAGCCCAGCCAACTGGCATTGCTGCCGGTCTGGGGCAGGCATTCTCCAATGTCGGTCGCGATCTTCAGAGGGAAGCATACGTGCAGCAGTCGGAGGAGATCTCGATTCGATCCGAGGCCCTGTTCAAGACACTGTTCAAGACGCAGCGCCGCAGCACCAAAGGCGCGCCCAAGTTCATTCCTGCGACGTCGTTCAAGCACGTCGGTCCCATGTTTGACGTGTCATGGATGTCCATATTCTCAGCGCTTTCCAGTCAGATCCAACGCGCCCATAACATCGAGGTCAACAAGCTCTGCCTTGAAGGCATGAAGCTTGCAACCAAGATTGCATGCCTCTTTGACCTCGCAACGCCTCGGGAGGCTTTCATGTCGGCTCTGAAGAATGCCACCAATCTAAATAACCCCCAAGAGATGCTGGCCAAGAATATCGAGGCACTCAAAGTCATCTTGGACCTGGGACAGACCGAAGGCAACGTTCTCCGGGAATCCTGGAAAGACGTGCTCATGTGCATCAGTCAGCTGGATCGTCTCCAGCTGATATCTGGCGGCGTGGATGAGAGTGCTATTCCTGATGTATCCAAAGCCCGTTTCATGCCTCCTCAACGTTCAGAAACACAGGATTCACGATCCTCAACTCAGTCAAAGCGACCGCGGCAACGTTCAAATACAGCATCGCGTGGCTTCTCTCACGAGATCGCCCTCGAAAGCCGCTCGGAGGATGTCATTCGCAGCGTGGACCGCATTTTCACCAACACGGCGCACCTGTCGGGAGATGCTATGGTGTACTTTGCCCGTGCACTGACAGAGGTCAGCTGGGATGAGATCAAGGTGTCCGGATCGAACGATTCCCCTCGCACATACAGTCTACAGAAGATCGTCGAGATTTCCTACTACAACATGAACCGTATCAGGTTCGAGTGGAGTAACATCTGGGAAGTGCTGGGCGAGCACTTCAATCGCGTCGGCTGTCACAACAACCTCAATATCGTGTTCTTTGCTCTTGACTCGTTACGACAGCTGTCGATGCGATTCATGGAGATTGACGAGCTGGCTGGTTTCAAGTTTCAAAAGGACTTCTTGAAACCGTTTGAGCATGTGCTTGCCGATTCTAGCGAGCCGACAGTGAAGGACATGGTGCTCCAGTGCCTGATCCAGATGATTCATGCACGAGGCGATAACATTCGCTCTGGATGGCGGACAATGTTTGGCGTTTTTACCGTTGCCGCCCGTGAGTCGCACGAGAGCATTGTCAACTTGGCCTTTGAAAACGTCAACCAGGTGTACAAGACAAAGTTCGGTGTCGTTATCTCACAAGGCGCTTTCACCGATCTCATTGTCTGCTTGACGGAGTTCTCCAAGAATCTCAAGTTTCAGAAGAAGGGTTTGGCCGCCCTGGAGTTATTAAAGTCGATCATCCCCACGATGCTCAAGACGCCAGAGTGCCCTCTTTCCCAAAAGCACAACCCAGCGGTTGCTGATGAGAAGTCGCACAACAAGTCGCCCGACGCCATGAAGAGAACGCAAAACAACACCTCTGTGGAAGAGGGATTTTGGTTCCCAGTGCTATTCGCCTTCCACGATGTGCTCATGACCGGCGAGGAGCTTGAAGTGCGATCCAAAGCCTTGGAGTACTTCTTCGACACGCTCATTAAGTACGGCGGAGACTTTCCGCCCGAGTTCTGGGACATTCTTTGGCGCCAGCAACTATACCCTATCTTCATTGTGTTGCGGTCGCGTCCGGAGATGTCGAATGCATTGACGCACGAGGAGCTCTCCGTGTGGCTGTCGACAACTATGATCCAGGCACTGCGCAACATGATCACGCTGTTCACGCACTATTTCGATGCCCTTGAGTACATGCTTGATCGCTTCCTTGAACTTTTAGCGCTCTGTATATGTCAGGAGAACGATACCATCTCACGCATTGGCAGCAACTGCCTACAGCAACTGATCCTGAAGAACGTCACGCGATTCACAGAGCAGCACTGGACCAAGATTGTTGGTGCATTCTGTGAGCTGTTTGAAAGGACAACGGCCCACCAGCTGTTTACAGCGGCTAACATCACCGCTACGGCTGCAGCAACTGCCAATGACGACCTCGACTTTGCCTCCAACGGCCTCCCGTCCACGACGGACACAGCGCCAGTTGAGTCTCTGAAGATAAATGGAACGGAAGAGGCCATTGCGGATGCAGATTCAGTACATGACGGCGGGCCCTCCAAGACAGCCGACGGAGATGTTCGAGCGCCTGGTGCGCCTGACACTCCTCTCGAAGAGTTCAAGCCATCTTCAAACCTCCAGCAGCAACCTGTCGTCGTGACTGCTGCGCGCCGTCGCTTCTTCAACCGCATCATTTCGCGCTGTGTGCTGCAGCTGCTGATGATCGAAACAGTCAATGAGCTTTTCAGCAACGACACTGTCTACACCCACATTCCGTCCACCGAGCTCCTCCGGTTGATGGCTCTTCTCAAGCGCTCCTTCCAGTTCGCTCGCAAGTTCAATGAGGACAAGGAGCTTCGCGCCCGCCTTTGGAGAGAGGGCTTTATGAAGCAGCCTCCCAATCTTCTGAAACAGGAGTCTGGTTCTGCGGCGACCTATGTCTCTATCTTGTTCCGCATGTTTGCTGACAACGACCCGGAGCGTCTTAAGTCGCGTCCGGATGTTGAGGCAGCACTCGTGCCATTGTGCCGTGACATTGTCACAGGCTACATTGCCCTCGAGGAGGAATCACAGCAGCGGAACATTGCCGCCTGGCGGCCGGTGGTTGTCGACGTGCTCAAGGGATACGCTGAATTCCCGGAGGACGCCTTCATCCGAAACAGCGTCGAGTTCCATTCCATGTGCGTGGACCTCATTGGTGGAGACTCGAGAGAACTGAGCATGGCGATGAAAAGGGTACTTCGCAGAATCGAGGAGGTCGGCCTGCCTGCTTCTGCTAGAAGGGCCAGTGTAACGAGTGTGACGAGTCAGCAGTAGACGGAGGAAACCTGTATTAAGAGTTCGTATATATCATGTGTTAGTTTTGGCGGCTGCGTTCAGGGGTGAGAATGTCGATCTATGGCAGACGGGAGTCTACCGTGTTGCCTGTACCTAAAATGCCTTTGACGTCTACACTGTTACTTAGATATCTAGCTTAGGAGGTATTGTACGTATCGCCCCAAGTCCCTGATGTCGTCTTCCTCGACAGGCCTTTCGCTCCACGCCTCCCACCCTCTGAGTCCATCACTGACATAGGCGCCCACATTGCCATCTTCCTCTGCGCAGGCCCGCTGGATCAGCTCCTTCATGATCGCATCATTCGCCTCACTGCGGTGCGTGCGCATCTCAAGGACCAGATGCTGCCAGAAGTCCGCTAGCATCATAACCATCAGAACATCCTGCTTATCCACCATGTGATACGCTGCCCACGGTAGCAACGGCTCTGGTAACCTTGGGTGCGGGTGGGACGTCAGCATGGGAAGGTTGAGCGACGCGAGGTGCGGCAACAGCCGCAACAGCCGGCCTTGCAAGAGCGATGTCTGTCGCCCGTCCCGATCCTCAGAGGGTGTGCAGTACTCGACCACGATCGACGCTGAAGACTCGTGGGTGAGGAACAAATGCCACAGTCGCCCGCTACCAACCGGTGGGTGTCCGTTGGTGCCGTTCACCATGGGAGAAGTAACGGACACACTGCAGTCTGTAGTGAGAAGGTCCAGTAGCACGCGACTCGCTTTTCCAGGGACGTCCGGCAACTCGCTTGGCTGCATCCAGACGTGTAGTAAATGGCTTACAAGCGTCCCGTTGTCCAAGGACGCCAAGGTGTCCGCGTCCTCGGGTGAAGAGGCTGCCTTGTGAATGACCTCGAGACCGAACATCTTTGCGCTCTCGAGTGGTGACGCCATGCACCGGAGGACATCTTCGACACTCATCATGGCGGGAACCACCTGGCGAAAAGGCAAGGGGGCGAGCAGCTTGGTGGTGAGCGTGAGGAGGGGCGTGGGGTCTGAGGGCCGCTCGACTTCGAGGAGAGACTGGAGAATGGGCAGTAGTCTGGGTAACAGAGGGGGCGTGTTGGCGTCTGGCGTTCGTCAGTAAGGGGATTTCAACATATGTATCAAGAGCTTGACGTACCGGTGAGTTGGAATTCCACATCGTTACAGAGCTTTGAGTCAGGCGCGAGAGATTGATCGCTCAAAAGGGCTTGAAGATGGGCTGACAGGGCGTCGAGACCGGCTATAGGAGCGAGGTCCTGCTGCTGAGGGATAATACGGTTCTCCATGATGTCTGTGGTCCTCTATGTTGATAATGACGAGAAAGGATTCGGGTGTGGCAAGGTCAGTGTTGTCGCTGTACGTCGTAACTTACTAACTTATGTACAGCAAGATGAGCTACCCTACGGCTACCAGCTATGGCAGAGGCGTCGCGTGTAGGCCGACAAGACGGTCGAACAACTCGACCAGACTCTGAAATGGAACTTGCCATTTTGGGTAGAAAATTTTTTCAAGTGAGCCGATAACTCAAGCGATATGCATTGAAACTGCATGGACCTCATGATGGTGATGCTTTTCATATTGAGAACATGGACCAAGTCTTGTTCACTACGAGGAGTATCTGGCAATCAAAACACAGAACATTTTCCAGTGCAAGGAATATGACGATGAGATTCAGTATACCTAATACCAATTATTACTGTCCTATATCAGCACACTCTCTCGAAGTATCCAAGCTGTGCAAAGTCAGGGCTGGCAAAGCCTTGAATGGCGCCGGGTAGCCCAAACCTTCGACGCGGTCCAATTCCGCACGCCGCTCAAAAAATGCCAACCCCACGTCCGCCAACGTCCACCGGATCTGTCAGTCATCCTTCCCTCTTCATTCCCTCTCTTCACTTCCTCTCCACCCAATTCATCAAGATGTCGCGCGGCGGTCGCGGTGGTGGCAGAGGAGGTCGAGGCGGCGCGCGAGGTGGTCGACCTCAATTATCATGGGACACGGGCGAGGAACCTGACTCCAAGCCCTCCGAGCTCTTTCCTGTACGTCCAACCCCCCAAGCTCGCGCCGACATTGCTAACGTAGACGACAGCCCTACCAAATCCCAGTACCTCGCAAATTGACCGAATCCGAGTCGGCGTCGGTCAAGCACTTCCTCTTATTACGACATCAATTGCACGCCAGTCCACTGTACACGGCGAAACGCACACAAAGCATGAACCCCACGAAAAGCTACGGCACAGCGCAGGCCAACGCGCAGTACGACGTGAAGAACAAGGCCTCCGTCGACCCCTTCACGAGCATGCCCACGTATGGGCAACGATTCGTCCGCCAGGAGCGCGCACTGCCAGACTGGTCTAGGCGACCAGTGTGTAGAGAACTCTGGCCGCAGGAATTGCTGGACACGGTCGCGTCGGATGCCCACACGTCTAAGAAGCGGAAGCTGGAGATCTCGCACATTTCGGCATTGCCGACGGCCGACGAGGCGTTTGAGATGTTAACGGGCCACGAGGAGGAGGAAGAGGGCACCGGTGGCGGGAATTTGCTCGAGAAGTTGGATGCGATCGGCGGGGAAGAAGGCGAAGGTGTCCCCGGGGAAGGAGAAGAAGACGAAGCTGGGTTGGAGGAGGAGGAAGAGGATGAGGCGTACGATGACGAGGATGCGGGCGATTATGATGCGGAGAACTACTTCGACAATGGCGATGAAATGGGAGAGGACTATGGCGACGATGGCGATGGAGAGGGCACGTTTTAGTCGCTCGGGCTCAAAGATAAATAATGATACCCAATACATGGCATGCTGCTGTGGACGTAAAACAGCTGCCCCCCAGAGAAACCGGTGCCTAAGGGGTGTTACACTCTATGGTACTTGGCTGTAGATTCCAATCCATGACCAACCTGTCCCCTATTTCAGAGGTATGTGCCCGCCTGCAGTCTCGAGAGCCTCTCCCTTGTGTCTGCAATCTTGCCCGCCTCATTGATAATTGCCGTGCCCATCTCGCGTAGCGCGCTCAGAACTTGCCCAAGCTGCTCGGCAACGCCACTCCCCTCCTCCTCGTGCCTGTCGCGTATCGCGCGGACCTGCTCGTACAATCCGTTTTCCACGCCTGGCATGTCGCGCTCAATGGCCACGCGATACTCCTCCAACTTGCGGTGCTGTCGCTCCACGTCGTCGGCAATGCGGTTGAAGTATGATATCAGATCCTGCGCATCGCCCGAGGGCTCTTTCGATCCATCGGCTTTGAAAAGGCCTGTTTGGTGGTAGTGCATCGGCAGCTTGAGGTTGTCCACAGCACGGAAGTTCAGCTGTCCGTCGCTAATGTTCCTTTTACTCCTGTCTTGTAGCCCCTTCACGTTGACCACGTCGCCTTGTAGTGCGTTTTGGACGGTTCGGTATTTTTGCTCGACAAACGCAACGTCGCGCGCGAGTTGCTCCACATCCACACCGTGCTGGGGCATAAATTGGGAGATCTGGTCCTTCATTTTGATAACGCGGGTGATCCCCTTTTCGATGAGTGTGATTTCATCTTGGATGGGCTGGCGCAGGTCGTCGAAGCGGGTACGAGGACGTATGTCCGCGTAGTTGATCTGGGTGGCGCTTTGTTGTTGCTGCTGTTGCGGTTGCTGCTGCTGCTGTGATTGTGGTTGTGTTTGAGACGCGCCACTGCATGCTGTTAGTCCCTGGCCCTCAAGGGTTCGTTCGAAAACACATACAAAAGCGATGGCTTCGCCTGTGTCTGGCCAAAGGCGCTGGTCGTGCTTTGCCCAGTAGTGTTGCCCTGATTGCTCGCACCACCAAAGAGGCCTCCACTCGTGGAGCTCTGCTGTGCTGTGTTCTGGCCTCCCCCGAATAGCGAGGAGCCCTGCGTCGCGGTTGTGGGATTGCTTTGCGCGGGTTTGCTGCCAAAGAGCCCTCCGCCAGTGCTCTGCGCCGCATTGGCTGTATTGGCTGTCGACGCACCGCCGCCGAAGAGACCTCCGCCGCCTGTGCTGCTCTGTGTGTTCGTCGCGCTGCCTCCTCCAAAGAGTCCACCACCACCGCCTGTGTTGCTTTGCGTAGTTGCTGATCCTCCCCCAAACAACCCTCCAGCTCCGCTACTGCTCTGGGCATTGGTATTGGTCGCAGCACCTCCGCCGAAAAGACTGCTCCCCGTCTGGCCCGTCGCGGGCTTTGCGCCAAAGAGACTCATCCCGCCAGCTGTTGGGTTGTTGGTCGTCGGTGCGGTCGATGTTGTGGCTGATGCAGGTGCACCGAACAGACCACCCGAAGGTGCAGGTTGCGTCGCGCTTCTTTGCAAAGAGAATTAGTTTGTTTGCGTCCAAGACTGGAACAAAGTGTGGCAATGGGCGTACAGTGAATTGGCAGCACCTGTGTTGATACTCAGACCGGCAGGCCCGCTGGCAGAACGCGCCAACGACATTTTCCGGTCGAGCGTGTCTCGGCGTGGCGGATTGTTCCTTTCCGAAAACCGCTTGGTGATGTTGGTGGAGCTAATTGCGTGAAGCTTCGGTGTGGAGAGGGTGAGGCTAGGCTGAAAAGTGGCTGAGTAATCGTGGCGGCTCGGTCAAGTCGCGTATGGGCTGTCGCGGAAATGTTCCTTCAGCTTGGAGAGGACATCAACTAGCAAGCTTCCAATCTTCAGATTGCCAAGGGTAATTCAAACCCACCTCACTACAATGAGTTCCGAAAACATGGATATCGAGGACGAGGACGACTTCTATGCGCCCGAAGAGCCCAAGACCACAACGACGACCGCGGAGAAGACAGCCACGGAGAAGAAACTCGCGAACAACGACCTTGAGGAAGGCGAGGAGGAGGACGAGGGTGCTGCCATGGACGAGGACTCCGACTCTGACGATTCTGACGTTGATATCATCACGGACCGTAAAGACGGCTCGACACCTGCCGCAGCAGCGACTCCAGCTGCCAAATATTCTGACATACGAAACATCCCCCAGCGATCGACAACCACAGGCGAGGCATCGAAACCAAAAGAAGAGAAAAAGACGTCTGCGCCAAGCGCAGACCAGTCTTCCGCAGCAGCATCCAAGTCTACTGTGGACATCAATGCCGATCCCATCTACCCTCTACCCTCAGGCGAAGGCAAGCCAATCACGCAAGTCACCATTGACACCGATCTGCCCGACAACGACAAACCTTGGCGCCGACCGGGCACGGATATATCAGACTACTTTAACTACGGATTCGACGAGTTCACATGGGCGCTGTATGCGGCGAAGCAGGAATCGCTACGGGCCGAGTACGGCCAAGACGGCGGGAACAAGATGATGGACATGATGATGGGAGGCGGGGGGATGCCTGGTATGGACGGCATGCCGGACATGGCAGCCATGCAGCAGATGATGGCCGCGCAGGGCATGGACCCGAGCCAGATGGATCCCAGTGTGATGTTTGGTGGCCAGCAGCCGCAGCAGGGCTTCCAAGGCAACTTCGGCCAAGGTGGATTTGGAGGCTACGACCAGAATATGGGCGGGGGCGGGGGCGGCGGCGGAGGGAGAGGTGGTGGCGGGTTTAGGGGAAGGAGAGGGCGGTGGTAGTGATATGATGTTGCAAGACGGGACTTGTGTCGCACGGGAAAGAATGGCGTTGGTGGTTGAATGCATATACCCATCCACGTTGGCTTGTCATCTAACATGCGCCCGCCATCATCTGCGCATGGGTACACAATGGCTGGATTCAATTGCGACTCAAGGCTGCTCCATAAGGCACTGTCTCTCATCGTTGAGACGGGAACCCTCTTTCATGGGTCTATTGACCGTACCGCGCCACAAAAGTCTTGATGTTCTCGATCGGACCACCGTCCGCCTTCATACCAAGACCATCAGCCCTGCTCATCTCGAACCGAGCCGGCCAGCTTCCGACGATACCCTCAATCTTAGCGTCATATCCATCCTTAATCAGCTTCAACGCGTCCTCCCCTCGAATGTCGCGCAATGCATCCAGCAGCTCCTGCACGATAACGGTGATGCCGGGCAGATTGACCGTTCGCCATATGCCAAACTTGCTACTAGGCACGTCCTTGATGCGAATAAGGTTCTCAATGACGTTCGTCGGGGAACACACCCACAGGGCCAGAGATTTCGGCACCGGCAGGGTCGTAGGTACCTCAGCGATGGGCTCTCGGATGATTGCGCTGCAGAAGGAGGATGCTGCGGCACCAGGCGCACCGAAACGTACATTAATGGTGGGCAATCTGATGATCCTGCCATCCAGCAGACCACATCGTGAGAAGTCGTTGAGATATGTCTCAATCATGAGCTTTTGTGCACCGTAAGAGCTCTGTGGCTGCGGCACTGTCGTTTCGCTGACAAATGTGGTCTACTTTTGAGGAACGTATACGGCCAGAGAGGAGGGGAAGATGACTTTCGTGCCTGGATGTGACTTTCGCAGGGTGTCGAGGATGATGCGATGCGAGTCAAAGCTAACTGTCCAGCCCAGCTCAAGGTTGGCTTCAGCACCCCCAGACATCAACCCGTGCAGCAGGTATACTGCATCATAGCTTGGTTTCAACAGCCAAGCCAGAGCAGACGCATCTGTGAGATTGAGTGCGAGTGGTGTGACGGTTGATGAAGATGACGAGCTTGATGGCTCGTGGATGTCAGTGAGTGTGAGATCAAGAGACGGATCGGCCTTCTGGAGGGCAACGGCCAAGTCTTGTCCCAGAAAACCTCCTGCGCCAGTGATGAGAATGTGTGGCATGGTGGTTGATGTTCAGTTCCTACTGTTGTGGGTATGGGCCAAAAAGGGGCTCAAGTATGATATTGCACGTTTAAATGTGATCACCTCGTGAGGGGCATGGGAAATATTTGGTGTGCGGAGATCCTCATGCCTTCACGAACTTTTCATGACGAGTCTCAAATTTTCCGGACACAGCCCTTATCAAATTGGAAGGTTTCGGGAGAGCTTGAGAGGTCCTCGGGAAGAAGGCCGGGTGGTTGCTATGGAGAGGTTCCCCACTTCGGTGTCTTTTCCGGCTTCGCAATAAGGGGTTATCTCCAGAAGTGAATACTTCAGCGAAGACTAAGACTTGACTGATTTATTTGATCAGGCCTTGAAAAATGTTTGTGAGGTGGCAAATTGGTCATTGATTGATTGATCAGGTTTTGGGTGCGTGATTCACGTTAACTAGCTCACGCTGGGCAGATAAGCCGCCTAGCCGAGCTTGGACCGTCGTCACGTCTTCCCAGACATGTACCGTGCCTGATAGCGAGCTCTTCATGGGGAAGCAGACTTAAGGCAACTTCTCACGACTTGCTGTAGCTCACGTCTCTAGTATTGCGGAGCGTACGATCACCTCCACCTGGAAACGGTGTCCATCATGGAATTGGGTTCCTCGAAATACTTGTGGCATTTACGATGTCCTCAGTTAATCATCTTACGTGTCGGGGGCTGTCAAAATCTAGGTGTATCTTTTGAATGGCTTAATCGCAGACATGAAATTCAGGCTCAAAGGTGAGGAATAGGTGAGTTCTACAAAGTGCCGCCCGATGCGACTCACCAGATTTCCACACTTGTCGAGCACTTGACGGCTGACTGAGAATCAAAGCCGTCCTCAAAACTGCTTTCATGGCTGAACAACGTGTTAATTAAGTGTCTTGCGGGCACTCGTGGCTCAAAGGAAGCGTGAAGGACTTTGGGTCGGGTCCGACCATCTCATCTATCCGAGCAAACAAGTCGGGTACCAGCATTCATTGTCTGCAGCACGGTCGTCGAGAAAGTTCGAGCATTTTGTTCGAGAATGTCAGTCAACCTTCGCTCACCCTTCACATCTGCTACCACACTCAGTTGCAGACAAGTCCAACCTTTTCATCATGGGCTCCATGTCCGCTCACGGCAGCGAGGCTGAGCACGAATCAATTTTCAAAGTCGCTATCCTTCATGGAAAGGGAAGAGGTCTCGTTGCAACGGATCCCATAGCGTTCGGGACAACCATCTTCACAGAAGTGCCCTATCTCAAGCTCGAGGACAACTTCGCGAAACTCAACCCCCCGGCTGCCAACGCGCTTCTGGGCCAGCAGCTGCGTGACCTTGACAAAGGAGACCAAAGAAACTTCCTCCAACTTCGGAATCTCTTCCCGGGGCTGAATCCGCTCCTTGGCACGTTTTGCAGCAACGCCCTGCAGATTCACGACTGCATGCACGCCGTCTTCAGGCATACGACGCTGATCAACCACGACTGTATCCCCAACGCAAGATACTTCTGGGACAAGGATGTCGGACGCCAGGTCGTTCGATCCCTGCGAAGAATCGACATGGGCGAAGAACTCACGGTGGCGTATATCATGCGAGGAACGCGCGCAGAGCGACAAGAAATATTCAAGACGCGCTATGGATTCGAGTGCACATGCGCGCTGTGCTCGGCACCTGACGAAATTGTCGAGCAGAGCGACGCAAGGCAGGAGATAATCAGGAAACACGACGCACTTGTAGACTCCGACCGCGTCAAGACCAACCCTGTCGCCTGCATGAAATCCTGTCGACATCTGGCATACGCCGTCAAGCAGGAGTACAAGGCAGACAAGGGACAGAGCCGCCTGTATCAGCCGTTTGAAGAGGCGATGAACACGTGCGGTCGGCACGGTGATCGGGCTCGGGTCGTCATGTTCGCCAAGCTGGCCGTGGCCAGTCTGCAGCTGTGCTTTGGGTACGACCACAAAAGGACCTCACGGGTCAGGAGATTGGCGATGCATCCGGATACCATGGAGGGCTTCGGGACGCATAGCATGGATTGGGAGACTTGGGCGCACGAGATACCTGAAAACCTCGGGGGAAGCCAATTTGATGAGTGGCTGTGGAGAGCTGGAGAGTGGGCTGTGCCTGTGACGGTGCAGATGGACGACGAGGAGTGGATTGCAACTTGCAAAAGGCTGTTTTTGAAGGAGGAATTGGCTCCAGATGCGGATGACAGCGATGCTTGAGCTGGAGGTGGCCCCCGGTTCAGTTTGCAGAAGGAGAAGGTTGTCGATGATCTGAACTTGGGGTATCAAGAGACACGGGGAAGCGCCCATGAATTGCCATTATGAAGTGTACATTGGTGCTGCATCTCGCATGTGCACTAGACTCCCGCAATGTCGTTCCCACACCGCCGTGGTGTCGCAACACGTTGAAACAAGCTATAGCTCCGAGAATCAATTGCTATCCACGTAGACTTCGCCGATCATCTTCATCGAGTTTGTTCAGTTTATAGATGGGCTGGTAGAATCCAAAACGGATTTTCTCTGGCGACAAATGCCGATAAATTTCTTTCGCAACCATGCAGCATCTTGATCACCGCTCGATAAGAACAGGAGCAGAAAGACTTCAGAACTGAATTTCATCTACATATAAATGCTATCTGAGGATAGCTTGGTGATGCTAAACAAATCATGTCCCCCTTTGTGTATGCAGGGCTAGCAGACTGGAATGGATCTCTGCACACCGCGGTGATTATAACATGAACCAGTAAACAGGTGATCCTCATGTAAAGGCAGACATGCTGGGCATGGCGAGCGCAGACGTCAAAAACTCAGTTCCATATGACAAAAGCCGACGTACGAGAGGCAATGTTCAAAACTTCAGTCCCGAGTAGATAGAGATGACGCAGACTGAGTCACCGATGAGTCAGTCCTCTGGAAACAAGTATGATAGGTTTGAACAAAAAGACTCCGTGTTGTGTCTGATGACTCAAGCAATTGTCGGGACCTTTTGCTTCCCAGGGCATATGGGATCAAGTTCATCTAACCTTTCATCTACATCTTGGCTGAAGTGAAAGAGGTCAAGATTTGAATCATCATTAACAGCACATACCAAATCTTTGACCAGTCAGGCTAATTGGCTTTCAGCGTTGTGATCGGTTTCGTTCGACAACCCCCCGGGTAACATCGACCGCGAGCACTTCGGCTCCACGTGACTTAGTCGACTCCCGACGTGTCGAATGCGCTGTCTCAAGGCCCTATCACGATATCAACGCTAGATAGCGAGAGTAAGCAAGCAGCGCGTGTTAATCTGAGCCATCTGAGCCATCTGAGCCATCTGAGCCATCTGAGCCATCTGAGCCATCTGAGCCATCTGAGCCATCTG